GTGCAAACACTTCATTAAAACAAAAGCACAAGCTACCAATTTATAAAGATTTTCTATGATCAGCACCCAAAACAGAACATCAGGTCACTGTGCATAGTTTTGAAAAATGTTTGTGTGCATGTTAAGAAAAGAAGCATGGCTTTGTTTTTTCCATATAAAGAAAATGCTGCACACTGGATTTTTTTATGGCTGGGCTTGAAATGTTTTCTTTTACGATGGTCTGATTAATTACATTCCAACAATGGTAAGATTTATGATAACACAAAACACCGTGACAGAAAACAGGTAAGTAAAAACTATTTCGACGACAGTGCAAGAAAGGAAATATATATTCAAATAAAGCAGTTTTTTATGGTTTTGAAACAGGATTAACCTGTCATTGTTAGACTGCATCCTAATGCTGCTCTGACCCAGTTTCCAGACACATACATGCAGACATAATTCTTAGACCCAATATCTCCAATAATTCAGTAAGTACAGTACAACAAATATTGTTTGTAAATTATTCTTTTATGTCAACGATATCTTTTCTAACTGCACTGAACACTCATTTGTTCTAGAAATCTTTGGAGTCACATAAATAAGAATTGAATTTACACTTTCATATACTCTAGTAGGGTTACTTTCTCAAAATATAATTTACTTTTTTTAATTGTGATGGAGATTTAAAAACCTATGATAGGAAACGAGGAGTTTAACACAGATTAACCAGACTTCGTGCAATGAACAGTTTAGAAAAATATATATTAAAAATATTACTTATAATCATAATTAAAAATAATGTATAACATCAAATACATTTTTTACTTCAGTAAATGACCATAACCAAGTAACTAAAATTACCAACAAAGTAGTAACTCAGACCAGCTTTGTTCTGCCCATCTTTACTGGGATCCACCAGGCCATGATTAATGGAATCATTATGGACAGTTCTACTTTACCACACACCTCCTGGCAATATTCATCTATTGACTGGGCAATAATTTTCATGCAGATCTTCAGTAACCTGTTCCACTGACAGACATTCTAAATGTACTGTGAAGTGTTAAGGATGAAAGAAGCACGATTGGTTCCAATGCAGCTCAGTTGCCTTTCTAAAGGCTCTCTGTACAGTTACACACATGCTGCCAGTGGTGTTTGTGGTGACAATGTTTCTCTAGGCGAAAGTATCCAGACCAGGTGCTGTCCTTTGCATAATACATTAAACTGAAATCCTGACTACTTGGTCATTAAAAGATGCCATGGTAGTGTTGATAAGAGTATGGGTGCTAACCCCATTGTCCTGGCTAAATTCCAATCTGTGCTTCCAACTCTGGACTTCCTAAAGTAAACTCTATATTCCAACAAATGAGGAAGAAAATAAGAGAACAATAGAAATATACTGACTAATATACCATGTTTGATTACACAGAGAGAAATATGCTCATGTTCATGTATCACTGAAAAGGCTCAAATCCAGCGCAGATGACAAATAACAAAACAGATTAGACTTCCGTCACTGTCAGTACTTCACTAAATAAAACTTTTTTCACATTACATTCTTTGCTTGCTATGATTGCCTTCTGAAAACAGTGCTAAGCCATTTGGAAGTGTTGTCTTGAAAGAGTACACTACCTTTTACATAATGCCCGCAGACAGACACATTTACATAATGTGGCAAGCAGTCGGGTGTACTTACATCTGCTGTTATGTCGTTAAACTTCGTAATAAAAGCATGCTTTACAACATCAACAGCAATCTCGGAGGCAATTACCATACAGACATCAGGAAACAAAACCCACAGGTGATCTAGGGATAAAAACAGATCAATTTAGCACACACGCGCCAAAACTATTTGCAAATTTTCTCTTCCCTGTAGGAAAATATTGAGGCAATAAAGCATTTATTCATCTTAATGATTCACAGACAGGCAATTCTTATATAATGCTTTAACATTTTTGTTTTTGTAAACAAATTAGTGAAGGAACCCTGAAATGATGCAACTAGCTAGAATGCCAGCAGCTAGCTAGAAATTGTGAACTATATTATCTTAATTATTATTTAAGAGTTTAAGTCAACTTCAAAATTCATATTCAGATCCTAAAGTCTTTAAATCTTTAAATGAGTCTTTAAATGTTTTGACTATTTTCCTTCTTACAGGAAAGCCTACTTCTATTTAATTAGACTGTTCAAATTTAAATCCCAGAGAGATTTGAATACAGGTCTCCTACACTGTCTGGATCCATTTTCTTTAAAATGGAAAAATAATGTAGTACAGCGTTTATTGAATCTGATTTATTGTGGCTTTGAAGTATTTTTCTCTCTGTTATTTCAAACATTTAGAATTTAATGAAAGAAAAGCATTCTGGATATCCCTATTGACTAAAATGGCTTTTTAAACCATCACCAGTTAACTGTAACATCAGTCCATCAATGTTGATGGGAAGCAAACTTTGTCCTCCCTAATAATGATCCTGTTGGTAATAATGGCTACTATTAATTTTAATAGATGATTAAGAAATGTATTATGGATTAATCCTTTAGTTCATTGTTTTTGACAATAACAGTAATATGGAACAATTTGTTATTGGCATTGTTCTCAGACAAGATGGAGTTTGTCTCCATCATTGACCAACTGATTAAAGATGATTGATCAGATGACATTTAAACCAGGACGCTGACAGTGGGGAAAGAGATCAAATGTAGATCCTCTATATTGCGCTGTGTCAGAAAAGAAAGGGAAGCTTCTGACCGGGGATCTAGAGATTTGTGGGGTTTTTTTTATGAAAAAGCTTCAGGAAAAAAAGTTTGGAAAAGGCTTTGGAAGAGCAGAACAACTTTTGGAAGAGAGATGTTTTTGATGAAAAAGACTTGGAGAAAGACAGTGCTAAGCCAGTAAGCAGCTGGGCAGTTTAGTGGGAATTAGAGAAGAACTGAAAAGGTTAGTGAGGAGCTTAGATTTTTGTTTTGTTCTGGCTTTTGATTTGTTTCTTTTCACACTCTTAATAAAGAGCTCTCTTACTGTACCTTATGGCTACTTTTGTGTGTCTGTTTTTCTCCCAACTATTTACGTATGCCATTGCTTTCTGAACCAGGTATTCCACATACAGTATGGTGGAGGATGAGGCCATAAGTTGCAGTCTTGGGGAACTTCACACTCTTATGGATATTATGAACCCAAGTGTGGAAAAAAAAAACCAAACCAAAATGTTTGAAGACGGTAGTTCGTCCTCTATTGCCTTCTGGTAAAATTTGGTTTTAGACAAAAAAAAAACCTCTTGTCCAAACCAAGAAATATTAACATGCATGTTCTAGGTCTCTACACCAATCCAAATACTGTATCTCTCTGTTGCTAGTTTTTAATAAAAGGAAGGTTTTAATAGTTACCTGGATTCCATGAGAACTGTTCCATGTTCCTGAGACACACTATGAGCAGCAGTACATAGTTTGTAAATCTCTCTTTAATGTCTAGAAAAAGATGAATTAAATAAGATATACAGAAACATGATTCACTCCTACATTTATTTCTGATATTTTGCAAATAATATTCGCGGACCACTAACTTACGTGATCATTAATAATACCACAAACCATTTTACAAAATGTTCAAAACATATAACTATGCAACATTTCCATGCCAAGTTCTGATCTAATTAAATCTGAACGGTTTCTGCCTGTTTTGAAGTCTCTTAGGATTACAAATGTCAAATTAAGTTTTTCTTCTTCACATAAACTTTTTTTTTAAATAAAAATAGATTTTGCACAGGCAAACGTATTTAAAAAAAGGCTTTGTACTGGCTATGCCAGATGATACATGATGGTGAAGATTCCTATTCATGGCGCACAATGACAACCTGATACATTATTAAATATACTGATATGAATAAAACCTCCTATAAAAATTCAATTTCAGCAACAAAGGTCTTAAGAACATATCATTATTTCATAGATGTTTTTTATATTTGTTTTCTGTAATGTCTTTAAAAATATATAATAATAAATATAAAACAAAAAATATTTTTTGTATTAGTATTTATCGCCCTTTAGTGGGGGTAATAATCATAATTAGTGGAGGCACTTTTGGCAGAAATTACAACCATACTGTAAAGTCTTCTTGGATAAGTCTCTCCTGCAATTTTGCCCCAGGAGCTCTAAGTCCAAGGAGGGTGAATACTTTTGATATCCACCTTAACATAGATTGATTAAATGATTTTTAAAAATTAACTAGTGAAAGGCTTAAGAGCCAGAGTATAGAAATGCTGAGGCATCTTGGGATTATTTTTTTTTTTGTATATACTGTGCACCAAACAGTAACTACCATATATAATGCAGTGAAGTCAAAAGATTGAAAAAAAGGAAATAGTTAACCTGTCTTAATTTTGTCATTTAAAGTTCAACAATAATGATGAATCAAAGTTGGTTTAATGGTTCTTCCAACCATAACATTACCATGGCTTGAAAAATCTACTTTTTTTAAACCCCATTTGAATGGCATTTTTAAAATCTTTTAAAACTTCCCTAAAAAAGGAATAATACTGTAAAAGATTAATTTACAAAATGTTATGTTATCAGTTTGGTTATTCTAAAATTTCCTAATATGATCAGAGAACATTTGCGATGCAGGTGAAGCTAAAGATCCAGTGATCTTTAAATTGAAGCAAAAACCAGAGTACTTAGAGATTTAATAAAATTATGGCTGTTTTAGCACCTATTTGAAATGTAGGATGAATAACACTTTATTTCTATCTTCAATCATTTTTTCAGGACACAAGTGCATAACACATTGGATTGCTCCTAACGGTAAATGCAGTATACAGTAAAATCAAGTGATTTTCATCAAATCAAGTAAGTTTCAAAAAAGAGAAAAGAAGACAAAAGGCACACCCACATTAACTGAGGTGCTATCCATTGAAAATTAATATAAATATTGATGAGTTGGACACACTCTTTCCACTCATTTTGGAACAGAAAGTATAATTATACTTAAAACAACATATAAATCTATATCACATTTCATATTTTAAAAAGAAGCATAAAATGCCAAATATATGCCTTAAAATGTTTGCCTATTTATTTTTTCATGTTTTCTGAACTAATGAAAGCAGATTCCTCATGGGCATAACATAGCAAACATATACTAAAAATATAATACCAAGGAGAAATAAAATACCAAGGAGTTGATTACAGTATATTTTCAGCCATTCTCCAAACCGTCTGTTTGGCAAAGGAAAACAAAATATACTGTAGTTCAATTTTCATTTGAAATCCAGATATTTATTTTGTACATATCATTGAGATTTCAAAGGAGACTTAACAGCAATGATTAACATTTCAAAAAGACTACCTTTATAGATTATATTTAGTTCAGCACACTTCAAAAGGCAATCTTCTCATCACTACTGTTGCTAATTGGAATGAATTAGCCATAGGAAATTTTGCCATGCTGCAATCTAACATGCATTTAAGCAGTGGAATAATAAAGTAAATACTTTTTTCTTATCAAAGGGACAAAGCGTGTTAATATTTAAGAGAGATTAACTTACCACTATTTGACATCTGAAACAGATTGTTTTTCTCAAATTTCTTGAAAACACTCCCTTTAATTTCCACGAACTGTACAAAAGGAAGTAAATGATGATTAGGTTAATTAGGATAACTAGTCATAAATCAATGATCTTTCTAAAATGTACACCAGATTTTACCTATGCTGCACATAGTAACACTGATATGCACCTGCTTTATCAATTAACCTACAGGTACGCATGTCTTTGGAAAACATTTTAAAACTAAAATGGCCAACATTTTAAGATGGATTTTTCCAAATCCATGTAGTACTGGAGGACAGGATTTTCTTCATTTTTAACCATGGTTGACTAAGATGTTTCCTACACCAGCTAAAATCTCTGTGAACATTTATTTGCAAAAATACAGATAAGATAATTTTTCTTCAGTGTAATGGATGCCCCAAGTGTTCTATAAAAAAAAAAACAGAACAACTAAAGAGGGCATGTGTGTTGCCTGATATATGAAAATAGTGTACTTGCACATCACACAAAGAGAGACCCAGATGCTTAGGAAGGGAACAGCACAAAAAATAATGCACTGTATCGACAGAGGTCTCACTTGATGAATCTTAATGCTTTCTGGACACATTTAACATTTCCTTGCAGAAGAGACCCTGAGCCATGATTAAGTCTATCAACAATTAGACATATCAACAACAGACCAATAATTTGTTGAGTCTATCAACAACTATAAACCCCACTGAGATCATCAGACAGTGCAGCAGGAGAGTAACAGGGATCGACACCTTTACGCTACATCTGCATCACTCTCACCACATAGGCTACAGCTGGGCCCATATCACTATACTCAACATATCTTGCCAAACAAATTATAAACATTTAATCCTTTAAATTAGTTATTTTACAGTTTTTAAGACCTAAGCAATTTTTATTGAAGCTAACTGAAATGTCTGAATGGGAAAGGAAGGATTTTTATCTTGAATACTTACATTGTTTGACATCATGATGGTTAGCAACGATTTGTTATGTGAATTAAAGGCTACATTCAACGTTGTTGCTTGGACCATGATAAGAATAGCATGTAGAACTGTAAAGACATAACTAAGGAAAGCAACAATGTACACATGGAATTTGAAAGCATGACAGCAGAAGCAAGGCAGAATGAAATAAATCTAGCTCGGGCTAACAGTATATTTAAGTTTTAGTAACAGTAATATAAACTTATCTACAGATATTCCAACAATGCCATATTTTACATCCAGACTACGGTATAGTTTTTAAGGCATAAAACAAAAAAATACAAACAGATATACTAGTGCACATTTAATTACAAGAAATACATTTTCAAATTTTAGAAGGATACACACATAAAGTACTGCCATGAAAAAATGTGGAATCACTCCTATATGTGCACGCTTTTTTTCCTTGGGTTCTGTTGCAGTCCAGTACAGGGCATCCAAAATATCCTGCCCGAAAGATGAGAACAATCGATCTGCCACCTGACATGGAGAAAACAGACATGTTACTACTGAAAGGGCCCTAAACCACCTTAAACTGAAATCTGTAGCATTGGAATATACTACATTTGATGCCCAAGCTGATGATTATCGTTTTGTAGCCTTTCCCTATAATATTGGAGAGTGCACTACAGTTCTCATTCGCTTAGTTCTAACCCGAACACCAGGACAAAAGGATGCAAACCAATCATATAGCAGAAAAGACCCATTTATGTCCATAACAGAAGGGATGATATTATCTTTCAAGATAGACGTGACCTTTCTGTGCTAATCATACTCCTGGTGAAACTGTCCAGAAATTCAATTAGTGTTTTATCCAACCATGTCATGTGGTCCCTTTTGACTTGGGATTCAATTTTTTGCTGTTTGGATAATTAATGTCTTTGGTATTATTTGCCATTGAACTCTGCCACAGATACCAGATTCAAATTATATGGTCATCTAGGAGATATTGTATTCAAATGACATTTTAAAGACTACCAGTTGCTACTTTTGGCGACTTATCCTCTCAAATAATTTCTCTCACCCACTGCCACTTTAGGTATGATTTTCTTATGTCATCTTCCCCATGGTTTAGCAACCTTTGCATCAGCCTTTAGCTTCTTGATGATGGACACCAGACTAAACTGGAATGTCACGAGTTTTTTTGGTGCCATCATAATTGTAGAGGTTGATAACCCGTTTTTCTTATATCTTGTAACACAATTCTGAGCTTCCCATGACAACATGTAAAATCTGAAAATATACACCTACTGTAAATGTAAACATAAATCAAGAAGTTCTAGTGACTATTTTTTAAGAGAAGAAATACTACTACTATAAGTTAAATGTTGTCATTACCTTTTTGATGTTGAAAAATGTGTGTTTACCTGCAAGCTCAACCATCAGTGACAATGCTAAAGGCTTAATGCATGACTGGAGCACATTAAAGCACCGATCATTAACATTGCTCATCACATAAAGAAGGCTGAGAGGAGGCATGTGTCATACCTCCAGCATGTTGTAGATGATGTAGAGCTTGATGACAGACTGCCCTCTGATTAAGTGGTACATCATAGAGTAGTCAACGTAGTGCATCATGAAGTAACAGATAACCATTATAAAGCCCTTCAGGACATCACAAACCTGGGCAGGCTGCAATAGGCGATTGCCACTGAAAATAAACATAAAAAAAAATTATCGTGCTACTAAGGGTGGAACAGAAGCCCTTCTTCACAATGTTAGTCAGATGTCTGTAGAATATTTTCATGACATGTACTCTATTGTAAAACACTGGGAACCTCCTTTTTTTGATTAATTATTTAAGAGATGTCCCTCAAGTCAATTTAATTAAATCCCATTTTACATCCTCATTGCTAAGGAGAATAGCATTGTTTGATCTTAGTATGGTATAATGTGTCAAAGGATTTTGAGGGGTGATGGCACTTTCACTGGTGATAAGTTGTTCTTGTGGATAATCTGTGCTGTACAGTACTTGAATGGAAAGATTCTGCTTGCGGATATCAGCGAGAGACCCCTGGATGCATCATTATGCACACTAACGTAAAATGGCTGACAAGCTAACGATCTGCACAAGAAAAACCAAAGCAATTAAAAAATGAATTGGAAATGTCAGGGAATTTGGAAAGATTGTTTTTTTATTAATGTCACCACCATCACCAAAGGTAGAACTGTACTCTAGTTCAGGGCGGTTTACAGGAAGTCCATTTGGAAAGCCACTTTTAAATGAGGCAATGCAAGCACTAATAAGCTTAACACTGCATGCTACATGCAAATAAGCAGTATAAGTATATTTTGAAATAGGTTGTACATTTCGTGCTTTTAAGCATCAGCAGGAGAATTTGTACATGTAGATCTGCAAAGTACACTGAAGAAAAAAAAGTTTAAATTCAGAAGAACTGAGATTTCCATATTTAAGGTTATGATGAAATGCCTAAAAGATGTGAGTGTGCTTTTCATGACCTTTAAATTCTAACTTTACGAATTTCAGTTTCATAAATAAACCATCTGCATATACTGTAGAATTATCTGTTGATGAACTGACCAATTTTTCACCTCAGCCTTTTAGTTTTCTTCAAAAGTTAGTGACTTCAGAATATACCAGACAGAAAAGCAGTTTAAAGTACTGGTTAAATAAATACAATGGAAATAAGCCACTGACCTAAATTTACGTACCCCGTTCTTTACCAAAACATTATATATGATGCAAAAATGGCACAGTAATACAAAGGTGAGTAAGGGGGACTTCTGGGACATTAGAAGAAGAAGTAGACTTTGCGGGTTTAAAAAAAAAACAAATGCTTTCACACTTGTATCAACATACTTCTATCCATGCTTATTTATTATTATCAAGAAATCACTTTACAAAGAAAACTCAATCTCACCCAGATTTACAAACTTGGTATATACTTGTTTCAGCCCTGCAACAATAAATGATACTCTTACCGGAAAAGAGCAGAAGGAGAGCCATAGCAATTAACACTTATACTACTTATGGAACAACATCATTTGTAGATCATACAGAACCAAACTCTAATACATTGTAAATAAAATGAAGCTGGGCTGCATTATCACTTTCAACCTTATAAGGAATTCTATAATTTTACACTTTTTTTTTTAAGTACAGTGATCATATTCAGCAATTTAAAGCCGCTTCATTGTTCTTCTTAAAAACGGTTGTTTGAATAAACCTGTGTAAAACTCAGCTGCTCTTTCAATCCCTTCATATAAAGCTGTTAATTCAGAAAAATCAAAACAGTTGTAGAAGCCCTGCAGAAACAATAGCAAAAATCAGAAGAGCTATAAATAAGGACAAGTTTAAGTCTTATACAGGCCTCATGCTAATAATGTATGATCAAGACAGCTGCAGGCTCACAGAAGTAGGAGCAACCAATAGGAGTAAGAGCTGACTCCTGAAATCATGGCAGATCTAGGGCTGCTGTAAGAAAAGGTCTTACATGCACTATAATTCACCAGCATCTTGTGAGTCTCTTCGTCTCATTATCATCCGCATTATCATCCTTTAATACCAATGTTAAAAATGCAGAAAAGCCACAATCTTGATTGAAAAATGCAGGACCGTCTACAAACACAATGCCTCTTAAGAAATCATGTTTCTGAGACCAATTTTTTTTGGTTACAAGAGGCACACAGATCTTTCGTTGGAAACTATCCAGGTCACTATCCTGAAGAATTAGCTTCCTTCATTTTACAACAATCAATTCAATAAATCAATGCACAAAGTCAAGTTATAACAATCAGCAGCTAAATATCATTGGCTACAATGCTTGGTAACAGGAGCAGAAAGACAGAGACACACTGAGGGGCTGGAGTTTTGCTAAATCCTTTTCACAGTTACAGCTGTGAAACCAGGATGTTAGAAGCTTGCTTACGCTGGAGTATGTGCCAATTAAAATGTTTAATTCAGTGTCTAAAATCTAATTGTGAATTCCCCTAACAGTACAGATTCCACTGTTACGGCTCTATAAATATGCCAGACCCTTTGAGAAAATCTAGGAACATGTTCAGTACAGGAAGTGTGCCATCTTGTGGCAACCATTATTGTTTACGCTATGTTTCCCCCCTGAATCCCTACTGTATCTCCATTCTCGCCCTTTCAGCTGCAGTACAGTACCAGTTGAATATGACCGCTTCAGGCAGTGTGTGCTCATGTTAACAAGGCGGAGATCATCACTAAAACAAGCAGTTTTTCTGAGTACGGCCTAAAGGTCACATATATTTCAGAAACTTCAGACACCTAGAAGCATTTGTCATTCAGAAAGGGACATGTAACACAGCACACCACATTACACATGTAATATCCACCATGGGTTGCTTCCAATAATAATGCATATAGGTTAGCCTATTTTTAAAATTTTGTTTGGGAGCAACCTCGCAGGTTTTAGGACTTTGTAGATACTGAATGATCAAAAGAAATGTGCTCTGGCTAAGTGAGAGAGGGGTTTCCTAAGTAGAAAAAAGGCAACAGTACGACCCTCCCCACCTTCCCTCACAACATGCAGCATACAAATAGGGCGAGGTGTGGCACAGCCACTATTATTACTTTTTGTGCTTAAAAGCAAATATCTATATGATCATAATGTTACTCGAAAACTAAAAACTAGGCTTGCTGTGGCACTAAAGGCAGTGCAAAAAAGCATGGGAGCATGTATATTAAAGAACACAGATGATTTTTACACAAATGCTCTTAATTATAGCACTTATTTTATTGTACTACGAAGTAAGCAGTACATGAAATGCTTGCATTTATGATGCTGAATGCTTTTTTCACACCCCCTATTCAACAACTATCAGTTTGGATTCAGAGGATTCATGATTCAGTTTTCATTTGAAAATAATGTCACTTCACAATCTGCCAAGAAAGAATACAAACCTGAATTAAATCACATACTGTATGCCATCAATCACAATGTTATCCTTTTAAAACATCAAAATTACTTCTCTGATTTCAGTTTGCATTTTAAAGGAATTTCATTAGATTAGCCTCCAGCTATAGGAGATCAAAAGCACATGGATTAAAAAAAGCTATTTTCTTCCATTTTTCCAATTACAGCAATCTTTGGCTGAATTCAAGCTTTTTACACCTAAGGCAAAAAAGAAGGAATTTGGTAATACTTAGTAACATAAAAGAGACCTGCCAACTATAATTGTATCAGTTGGGATGTGCATAATCTCATGGGAAAATATTTAAGAATGCAGAGTACGTACGCAAAGTAGTATAAAGAGTAATTCCTATCCTGTTACTTTAGATTAATGCAAGTCAGTAATACCTTTACACTGGAAAACACACTGGGAAACAAAGTTAAAAGCTGAACAAAGAGAACCCTAAATTAAGACCTGAAACTGATGATAGTGCATAGAATATATTCTAAGAAGGGACTGAGATCAATTTCAGAGATTAAAAAGAAATATATATACACAATTATGTACAATGCTCAAAAGCAGCTCAATCAAAACATTTTTAGTCTGAAAAAGATCTCAAAACAAATGTTTTGAGCAGCTAAGAGTAGTATAGGAAAGCCATAGGTATGACTATTACAATTATTGTCATCAATGTTTAATTTCAAACACGACATTAACAAATGTACTCCTAAAAAACACTACCGTCTTTGTTCCATACCCTGAAAATATCTGACTAAATAAATAATCTAGCTGTGTTTAGAACTGCATCTTATTATAGATTTTAAGAATCACTGAGCAAAACCACTATGAGTCACCCTTTTCAGGAGTTGTAAATATCTCATGATGTTGTAATGAAACACATCAGTGAAAATGTCTTGTTGAAACAACCTTATAGGTCAGCAGCATTTATTGTCCATATACTGTACATCTATCTGGATACAATACCTTTATTATTTATTTGTCAGGATTTACAGATAATATTTGTTTTTTAAATAACCTATTAACCATGGGCCTGTGATTTCACAGACTATAGTCTCTTGCTCTTTGTCCAATAGAAGAGACTAAATGAGATATTGGGGAAAAGGGGTTTGTGTTAGTACTTTGGGAACTTCTGGACAGATGTTCATTCTGAGATTTTTGGTTTACTAAGCAAAATGTGAATAAAGTTTGGACCCCTGATTTACATCTGTAATGAAGTAGAGATTTAATCTTTCACTAAATATTTTAAATGCTTTATATGAACTCTGTAATAACTGGATATAAGTGTAAAATACAATGAAGGCATATTTTTCTTTGTTCTCAATGGTTTTTCCTGCTTCTCGAATCCTTTTGATTTAGATAGTTCCTCAAATGCATAGAATGTTTTTTTGATGCATACTTATTTGCAGGTATGCATACTATATTACAGAAATTACTTTTTCTGGCTGAAATAACTGACTAAGATTCTGACATCTAGAGATGCCCTCCAGATTTATTCAAATCTCTGTTGATACTGGAACAAAATACAACATAAAACAGAATTACAGACTGAATGTGTCTTGCTTGATAAAAATCTAATGTTAAACTGTAATTATAAGATTTGTCCAAAATATGCAACTGAATTTCATAAAAGACACAGAAAAGAGTCGCATTTATTCACACCACTGTAGTTAGCATTTTATAAATTTATAAAGTACATCGACAAGACACTTTCCTTTACAACAAATCTAAAAGACCCTGTAGGTACTGTATGTACAGTATGCGTATGGATTTCAGTAGCTTTGCTTTAAAAAAAAAAATAGCTGTTTTGTAATCAGGCATAAACTGTACAGAAATATCTTAAGGCTGTCTATCCAATGCCATCTGTTACAGCAGGATCCTTCATCACATCAGCAGCATCAATGCATAGTTATCTCAAAATAATTCACAAAATTGAGTCAGTCTCAGTTTCAAAACCAAAGAGAAAGACTTCTAATGATCAATTCACTACTATTCTTTATAGTAATAGAGTGGGAACAAAAAAAGGAAATTACAACATTCCACACTGTCCAATTCATCTTCATCAAATTTCCGAGGATGAAAAAGACTTGTATATGAGATACTAAATCATACAAATATGTAATTAAAGCTAAATAATAGCTAGCAAACACTGTGATCTCCCCCTCCTAACTGTTCATGAATATTATATCCTTCAAAAAAATGTTTATGTTGCAACAAGTACATTTTGAGTAATACTGTATAACGGTTTAGTTTAGGATGGCCTTCCAAGTATTATAGAACAAGTAGACTGATCTTTTTCCACCACTTCTCTTTATAGTATTACACCTATACATATTTTGAATTAAAAGCCTGTATGAACTCTGATAGTTATGTTTTTCAACAATATTGATGAGTATAACATGGTTTGATATCAAGAGTTTAGTAAAAACCTGTAATGGCAGACAAGGAAGAGTGGGATCGTACATTACAGAAAGTTTCCATGTCCAATTATTTCTTGTTAATGTGTCAAAATCTAGTGAGGACATGTGGGTTATACTGATGGATAACATGATAAGTGTATGACTGTAGGAAGAACAGACATTAATAGCCATCACTATGAAAACATCAGGAATGCTTGTAATGAATGGGATGCTTTGATAATGGGAGACAGCAATTTTTCCTTTATCAACTGTACAAGCTAAACAAACACTATAAATCGTTATTGAAAGGTGTAAATGGTGGCTTCTAACAATTTATTAATACAGCAGCATAAGAGAGAGAGAGAGATCACTTTATTGGCCATATACAATTTCTTATATTAAGAATTTGTCTTTTCGCATACCCCAACTTGCTCTCCATGAGACACACAGACAGGGAGAGAAGCTTGGGGTCAGAGGGCAGGGTCAGCCATTTATAAGGCACCCCTGGAGCAGTTGGGGTTAAGGGCCTTGCTCAGGGGCCCAACAGAGTAGGATTTCTCTGCTGGCCGCCGGATACGAACCGGCAACCTTCCAACCACAGGCGCGAATCCTTAGCCACAGAGCCACCGTACCTAGTTTTGAGCTAGTTTTTTTCCATGTAATAAAGCAAGCTAAAACCCACAAAAATGAGGTAAAGAAGATGCTGAAAACAAATGGTCAAATTTAAATTATTCTACCAACAGCAAAGTATTTCAATTCAGAAAGGCAAAGTTCAGGCAAATGAAGCTAAGTTTTTAGAGCATAGGCAGTCACAGCTGTTTTCAAATAATGCAATGGAAAGCAATTGGGACACACATTTAAATTAATTTTTGGTGTACTTGAAAAATTAACGTACCAGAAATACTTGGAAACAGCTTCCATGGTTCCATAGATGTGGCTAGAACTTTTACTTGACAAAATGATGCTAATCAAATCCATTATGATATTACTACAAACAATTAGTTATCAAAAGTACCTGTCTATGCAAGCTAACGTTTAATTTTATGTGTCTGAACATTTAAATGAAATGACTGTGCTAGTCAGGACATATAATTGACAGAAATGCAAAGTATTTATTATACCTTTGCAGGTTTTAGGACTTTGTAGATACTGAATGATCAAAAGAAATGTGCTCTGGCTAAGTGAGAGAGTGCTTTCCTACAGTAAGTAGAAAAAAGGCAACAGTCTCCCCACCTTCCCTCACAACATGCAGCATACAAATCGGGCGAGGCGTGGCACAGCCACTATTATTACTTTTTGTGCTTAAAAGCAAATGTCTATATGATCATAATGTTAATCAAAAACTAAAAACTAGGCTTGTTGTGGCACTAAAGGCAGTGCAAAAAAGAAATATCTTCAAATATGCTGTTCACATTCTATTTTTCTAAACACATTTTGGCTTCATGTAAAAAAAGAAAATGTGGCGACCAGATTCTATAGTAGTCCTACAATATTCCAGATGGATGGATTTCATGTTTAACCCTGACAAATGAACAGATTTAAAATACGTCAGAACGCATATCCACCCACGCCACTTGCACCAACAACCTGGTTTACCTTGTTGATGTCCCATCCCAGGCAAGGTTAGGACTGGTCAGTAAGGGGATACGAGACCTTTCAAGGCAAACCAGTTGCTGCTGAATGTGGTGTGGGTGGACGAGTATGTAGATGGCACAGACCTTCCAAGATCAATGCCCCAGTGTGATGACTGGGGTCACTGTGCTATAGGAGGTGCCATCTTTGTGCTGAGACTTTGAAACAAGGTCCCAGCTACCCAGTCATTAAAGATTCCTTGGTACTGTTCAGAAGAGGGTGGGTGTTATTCCAGTGTCCTGCTAAATCATATTTATACAGTACCTCACACAATTTGGCCAAACTAAATCTTATCCTGAGTTCAACTAGTGGAGACATTCTAACTTTTCCATTTAATCTGGTGTGTAGTGGGGATGCTGACACACAGAGCGAGCAGTGAATAAATGAAGTGGGACCTACAGTATGTGGAATCCTCTGGGGTGACAAGCATTACATAAATGTAATTATACTTTCTACTATCCAACCCAGTCTTTCACCTGCGTGTTACCAGTCATCTAAGAGGAAGGTGGCACACAAGGTTAAATGTCTCCTTCAAAGGTGCATTAGTGATTGGGATTGTTTCTACGTTTTTTATTCTCCATATGGTATGTCTTACCTGCATAACCATCCTGCATAAAGAATTGGAAAAATATCTTTTTTGCACAATATTTGCATGGTAAATGCTTTGCATTAATACACAGATACTCCAGGGCAGCACTCAACCAGATAAGCATCTGAAACATGTTGTGGTGCAACTCACTGGCTTCAGCCTAAAGCATGAACGTAAGGCAAAGCCACACTGCATGAACAAAAACAATGGTACAAAGAAGGGCAACTCTTAATGTTAACATGAAGCAGTGGCAGGCATCAGGGCAGAAAACCCATCTGTGCATACCTGCTGCTTTGACTCTTTTTGCAGAATGGGCATGTATTTGCCCTAAAGACAGAGAAAGCAAGAGGGAAAAGTCAAAATCTATTTCTATACTTTACTATGCATGAATCTTAACATGTGTTTTGGGCAGCATTAGGATCTCTCTGACAAAATCCTTAAATCTTATTTCTCCCACACTTAAGCAGGAACAGTTTTAGAAATGTAAAGACATATTTGCCATAGAGACATGAAATAAACAGACACTGCTGTGTTCTGCTCAAAAAAGGCCAGCCTCTCACTCAAACAGAATCCCTAGTCGGTTCACGTATGGCAGACCATTCTTGTTCAGCATCTCTTTGCACGAGTAAGAAAAAAACGCATCTGCAAACTCAAAAACAACATGCTTTTAATTAATGGTGTAACATGGGAGCTGCAGTCCAACATGTGTATGGAAACTCCCACGTATCCCAATAAATAATGACCAGAGAGGGCATGGAGTTTGTTTTATACTTCCGATCAACTAGGAGTTAAACAGAAGAAAGAGGAACAGGCTTTACCTGAAAAAAGTTGCTAGAGTGAACATTTGATTGAAATGATATGTTTTACAATATTGTTTATAGGAATCTATAATCCTAAATTTAATTTAAAAAAAACCTTTCAAGCTTTTGATTTGACAGATGGCTTAAAACTACTATATTTACACAATGTCACTTAACACACAAAGACTATTTTATGCTAAGCTGAATCAGTTTTAAGAACACTGCCTCTGCAGAGTTCCTGTTTACTTACTTGAGTCCACAGCAGGGCAGGGTGGTGAGCCTGATGAGGGCCAGGATGACTCGCATGGGAAGGAGAGTAAAGATGTATAAAAAGGCATCCAGGCACAGAAAGAACCCGAAAAACATCAACTGGAACATAAAGGAAAGAAAACAACCTGTAACGTGACCCTTCGGATGATATATGCGGCAAGACGTTTGTATCATTTCAACCGCGGCACGAGACTTCAGTCAAGGGAAGAAAAGCTGTTTTCAAGCGAGCAATCCTGTCTGACTAGTACTCCAGGAAGCAAACAACCACACAGAAATGTACCGTCTAGTTAAGGCATATATATATATAGTTAAGGTTAGACCTGCTGTAGGATGTAGTGGTCTAAAGACCTGGAATAATACCTTAGAGCCAGAGACAGGTAGGAACTGGGAGTTGATCACCTTCTCATGTTTCGTTATGTACAACATAAATGGAGAGTGAAAAGACATCAAACAAAATTATTGCACTAAACGTTTTACATGTGATTTCTTCTTATTTAAAAATGCTATGGTATGAGGCCACTCTTTAACCAACACAAAAGCTGTTGAAAACAAGTTGGTACAGAAAGTCCCAGTGCGACAATTCTAGGGGAAGACCTTTTAAATGTTTTTTAACATTTTAGACAAAATCTAAATCTTATCCTTAATGCTGCAGAAAAAAAACAAACACCCATAAACTCACTCAGACATTGTCCTTAACTTTATAATAATACTTTTCAAATCAAATTCAATTAAATTCAAAACACTTTAAAGTTGTGAGCAGTGCAACATACAACACACTACCAGTATTCGAAAACACATACAAAAAAACATCAAATGTACTTGTCAAAAACACAACAAACTGTCATACTGTTGACAAATAACAAAAACTAAATTACAAAAATAAATTAACAGAGTCTATAGTAACTGAGTGATATTTGCTTCTGTAAGTTACTATGCAATATATAACTCAATTTATTTCACATAGCAAACTATGAAATGAATCTCTTACAGTATATCTCAAAGTGTCTTTCAAAACTATTAATGAAGACAAATGACATTGCAGTTACTATTGACATAGTAATACATACTGTATTACAGTAATACATACTGTATACATATTGCATTTGTAGTACTACTGTTAAATTAAATACAGAAACTAAAAATGCTGAAATCATGTGATAAAATAATTTAGCTAATCACAGGAAGCATCCGGCACATACAGTAGAGTAATAATAGCTGAATCAGTGCACCCTTCGAAAAATAAAGAACAGAATTTAAAGTCCATCCATCCATTTTCTAACCACTCTATCCAGTACAAGGTTATGGGAGAGCTGAAGCCCATCCCAGCAAGCAATGGGCGCAAGGCAGGATGTACCCTTGACGGCACACCGGTCATCACAAACACACATGCTCACACCAGGATCAATTTCCCACAAGCCAATTAACCTGCCAGCGTGTCTTTGGACTGAGTGAGGAAACCCACACAAACCCAGGGAGAACTTACAAAATCCACACAGACAGCACCCAGGAACTCAACCCAAGGCCCCTTTGCGATGCAGCAATGCTAAACACTGCACCACAACGTGACTCACCCACATCCACAAATGTGTTGCTTAGTGACAAACTTAAAAATGTACAGCACAGATAGATTGACTGATTGATTGATTTGATAATTATCGGATTATTTCAATCTAAAGACAAAGTGCCTTCTCCATTAATTATGTTTACGAACTTGCTGTTCTTAGTCTTAACTTATTTGTTATTGTATGTATATATTTTATTTAACTCTGCAAGCTTTAGCTGCCTTGTCCTTATCATGGTGAACTGGTGGTAAAAATTAAAAATCAATTCCTTTAATGGAAATATCCAAAAAGACAAGATTAAAATAACAAATATTGCAACAAATTAATATAAGAAATCAGTTTTTGACATCATTTCTGTTTGGCTCCTCTTTTAAATATCATCATCAACCTTTTTCAGTTTACTCCCCTGTCTGTTGAGCTTTTTCTCATACAGGGGCAAAATGAATATCTTCTAACCTCACACTGCCTTCAGGGTCAAATCAAGTGTTAAGCTGAAGGGGCCATTCGGCTTCCCTCTGTTCACAGACTATAGTTACTCACCCACGAAGGATGCAGGCAAAATAACATGCATCACAGAAGAATAGCACTAACATATGCCTTTAGGCTTAGGTTACATTATCAGTTCTTTTGTAGTAAAGCAGATTAGAGGATTAACTGCCATTTTTCTCAGATTTCAGAAAATAAATTGATCATTTCTCAGGCTAAAAGATTTCTAGTGATTCCTGTCTTTAGCACGCTATATACTGTACAGACTGTAGGACTGTTATAAAGGGCTCATACATTTCATGGGTTATAACATAAAAATGATGGTTGGGTCATAATTATAGTTTATCTCTGTCTCCTACTTATACAACATTATGCCTTCAAAAAGACTAAACACACCAGGGCCCTTCACATCAGTACACACTACAGTCCTTATGACCTTCTGTATTTTTGCCCCAGAAATCACCTCTATGTACCAATGCAGCAAATCTGGTCCCAATAAGACACTTTGTGCAGCAATCCATCATATCATCATATTTGTTCCTTTAATTAGCCCAGGAACCACAGAATGAACATGTCAATTTAATGTACAATTGTAGAGTTTTGAGGAACAAAACACTTCAGTCAAGATCCTATAAAGAGATCCATTATTTATCTTGTCAGCTCACTAATACAATATTATTCTCCCAACATCAATCAAAACCAAGTATTAAAAAAACTGTACCCCTGAAGGGAGACAGATTATGCTAAAAAAAGATTAGAGGAAAGTTGAGCATTAGCTAAAATGTACTGTACTTAAATATTTAATACCTTTACTTAAAATAAACTGAAATTCTAAATGTACAAAATCACTCATGAAAGAAAACACAACGTTTTGGCTGTGGAGCCTTCTTCAGGTGTAAGCACCCGTACACAAGAAGGCTCCACAGCCGAAACGTTGTGTTTTCTTTCTTCTTTTTTCAGCATGGTATAAACCTATTACTTGTTCCTTTGCAGCCTACGCATGCTGACGCAGCTCCCCACCTGAACAAAATGACTCATGCCTAGACTTGCAAGACATTACAACATTGTTCAGAATTTACTGTATTTCATTTTCATTTAATATATTCATTCTACCTGCACCATAGATTAAAATTGATTCAATGACTAATACTTGAATAAATAAAGACGACTTTTCATGCACATAGTTTAACATAGTGAAATGCAGAGAATATTATGCTGACACTGGCTCCCTCTCATGGTGTTTATAGTTTATTGCATGAAGTATCTAAGAATCTTCTGCAAATACATGATATTTGATTAAAACTGATCTTCTTCAACAGTACATACCAAAATCTGATTAAGTGATTTTTGTTCTCCTAATCTTTTCTTAAAGAGTAGAAATAGAAAATACAGTGATATCCTTACATGGCAAAAATGTTGCTTACAGCCCATGTAAAGACACAGCAAAGAATATCAGTCAACAGACAGTAAGCAATAAAGTGGTACATCTTCCTTTTAGCTCAATGGATCAGCATTTATTTTCAGTTTTCAACCTAATTTCTTCTGCTCCTGTTGGAACCTTGTGAGACTTTCTTAGTCAGTCTGCTACAGTCTATCATCCAGGCCTACAAATATCTTGTGTTTTCTTTCTCCTCAGGGTCTTACTACGGTCTGTTTCTCTCATGTTGTACATTTTGCCTAGAACTAGTTCTCTTTTTATTTAAAAAACATAAGGAAAAAACGTTTTCTTGAATATTTCTCAAAAACGAAACAGAACTTACTAGAAGCAAAATACACAATGCTGTCTCACAGCTCTTGGGTCCTGGGTTTGATGCAGGATTAGGGTGGACTGTGTTAAATTTCAATGTCCTCCTCATATCCAATCAGGTGCTCCTGATTCTTCCAACAATCTGAAGACAGGCTGGTTACATCCTTCTGAACTGAACCAGGTTATTGCCCTGTGCTTCCAGGAACCTTATCATGAACCTCACCAGGCAAGCAGCAAACTGATTACAGTACTGTATGTGTGGATGGATAGAAGCAAATTTATTCCATTAAGTATTTGATGTATTTAGATGATCAGCAGAACCAAAGTATAATTTTAATGGCACCGTAACACCAAAATAATAATCATAATAACCAAAACACTTTCTTGTCATTTACTAGAAAGCACAAGAAGTTGCTTTTAAAGGTGCTAATAATAAGAGCAATAATAATAAAGATCATCAGTACTACCAAAAACATCTGCAAAATTGTTGTACTTGAAAAATTAAAACTGTCTAACACATAGATTTCCAATGTAGTTGTATTCCATGTTTTATCTGTATTTTATATAATACATATAAGGGGATTTGTAGTTGTAACCAATAACTTACTAAAATGCTGTATCTATAAAAACTAAGAAATACTTAAAAGAGAAATCTGAAACACAATTGAGTTTCTCATTAATTGAAGTTATCGACATGGAAGTTAAACATCCTGTAAGGAAACAGGTGCCATCTTCATCCAGGTGTTCCCATCAATGGGATGAAACCATGAATGAAAAAAGGGATGATGTTTTAGCCATACCACATCCATGAATTAACTGAGAACAATGCACAAAATAACAACATTCTTTCATAAAACACAAATCCCCAAAACAGCTGTATAATTTGAAATTGAAAAACATAAAAAAATGCTATAATGTTGTGTAAGATAAGGAAAATCAAGGATGCCATGCTTTTATCAATCTACTGGTACACAACAGCTGACACGCTGAGGAACTCGGGCTCAAAAGAGCGCTGGCAAGAAAGACACAACATTTGCTGAGGCTTCAATCATAGACATTCGACAAGACATTTAATGAAAGCATGTGACACCAGGAATTGTCTCATAAAACAGACTTAAATGGATTTGACATAATTGCAACATATGCACTTAATATAGCAGTAATATCTCTATGCAGCTGAAGAAAAGTACTTCCTTCATCTGTATGCCATGATGAAGCACACTAAGAAAGCCTGCCCTACTACAGCCTGGCTTGACGCCTGTGGCAGGATTGTTCTGGGGCTTTTGTCTACCAGCAAAACAAATGTTAAAGTTACTGTACGTTTCTTGGACGGATCCTGCTTTATTAAGAAGCATATCTTTCCTAACAAACTACGATAAATACAACAGGCCCTTCATGGCACCATAAAGCCACAATGAGGTTATTGAATTCCAGGCTTCTCATCATCAACGCAAACTGGGGGCTACCGTATTTGTATGATGCAATAGAGGTTTCTTCAGTTGTGCTCAGTTCCACTCCTCATTTCCACACAGTACCCAAAACATATAAGTTACCAGACATGTACAGTTGTCAAGTCTTCCCTCAGAGCATCAACACATTTTCATTTTCCAGAATGCTGCTGACTTGTATTCAGATGTAATGGATTTCACAGCATGCATACGCGACCGATAAAGCCTGCAGCGTGATGTTCAGATGCAACATCTAAGACGTCCTGGATTTAAATACATTAGCTGCTTTGATTGCATCCAAAACTGATACGTATTTTATATGCAGCCCCCTGATACCCACCTGATGCAACTGCTGCAACTCACACACGAATTCTGCTAGGTCTTACTCGAATGTTTCAGATTGGGAGACTTTGTTGTTGCTTTTAAGTAACCTTTTAACCTTTAAACATTAACATTTAAAAAAAAAATGACAGCAATACTTAAAATTAAACAGAAATGTTATTTAAATGATGCAATCTGTTCCTATTGAAAACCTACAGTATATCATCAGGTAAAATCGCTTATGCCCCAGACATTCAATATGGACTTTACATAGTGATACCCTTTGAAAGTGTTTTTTTTTGGGCTCATGAAAGCAACCTAATAAACCAAGAACCAGTAATGACATACCTTTTCTAGTTCCCTGGGTATCCGCATACATGTGTAAACTCTTTCTCTCCGCTCTGTGTACTTTGCCTCATTGTGTTCCAGAAAGTATCCACGGGTCAGCTCAGCACTAATAAACCGCACCAATGAAAGATCTGCATTTAAAAAAAAGACAATATGTTACCACAATGCAAACATGAAGCTATTCATGAAGCATGCTTATAACAGCCAACATCATTGTGGAACCAGCTCTATTAATGGCATTTTGTTTAGGAGACAATTACTGCATTAAGCTGGGTTCCACTAGCGGTCTGCACAAAGCATTAACAATGTACAGTATACTCCCAGAACAGGTCAATAAGGTTTTTGTTGCAAAATTTCCCCTGTGTGTAAAATGACTTACACCTCTGACTTGCTGATTGTATCATGAGAATCAATGCTATAGCTAAGTTCCCAAATAAATATTTTGGGAACTTCATACAGTATATACTGTCACGATCGCTCTACACAAAGTTTGTTCTTCAAAATAAATAACCCACTGCCTGTCAAAACAAAGGAGTCAGTCTCCAGAGTGTCGGAAAGCTGGCTGACAGAGAAAAAAATGATGTGCAACTCGAGAACAGAATGTTTGTTTCTTAAGAAATGTAAATTTATATGAAAAAAAATCTAATTTATACTGAAACTCACGTGGCAAATTAAAAATACTAACACATTAAGAGCACAGATATTCTTCATGTTTTCAAATGGTTTTTCCAACACTTCATTCCACTACTAACCATAACGCATATCTTCACTACAGTAATGTCATTTAAAAGCATCATGCTGGCTGTTTCATACAGTATAAACATTTCCACTTATTTCTGTCGAACAGATTTTGCAAACTACAAAAAAAGTCTCCTCACATCATCTCTTGACAGTATACCATATACTCCCAACATGCAACAAAAGAAAAATCTGACCGCTATTACAAGTGTTGTATTACCCACTGAGCACTTACAGTGAAAAACCTTCTTGGCACTTGGTAAATGGTAAGGTGTCGCAACGATGAACCACGGTCAAGTTACAACAGGGATTATTTTAACAAGAATAACTGCTTACAAATAAAACTCGTATGGCACAGCTAAACCACTTCAGAAAAATAACACGCCACTCACTCTTGAACTTACTCCAATATATTTAAGCAGGTTTTCTGAAATATTTTTCTGAGAAAAGTTTAATCAAACATCATTAGCCATTAACCCAACAGTGATTTAAACATCACTGCAATTTAATCAATACTCTAAAAAGATGAAAGCAATTAAAATGCCAATCTGAAAAACTGCCTTTCATTATCTTCATTAGAAACTGTCAATATCTGGAGAGCCCCCCTTATCCGTGCTTGAAAGCAAGCAAGTATGCATCTTTCCAAAGCGTTTCTGCAATCTGTCTACATTATTTCTAATATTTTCTACATATCATCGACAGAAAGTTAAGCTTTAAGTCTTTAAGATACCAATAAACTTGCATGGTGTTTTTTTTTAAGAAAACAGGAAACTGAAAAACAGCCATGCTCGTCATAAATTGTCAAATGTCATATGGTAATGCAAAAAAAAAAGTTTTTTTGTATTTGTGACCACATACAGTACAACATCCAGAGCACCACACAGAGAGTGTGTCTCTACATAATGCTGACTCATGTCTGTCCATCTGTCTGACCAGTCCAGTTAAAGGCAAAGGTTTCGTGCATAAGAATCTCTCTCTAAACTGCTGGTTGTTACTCAACAGCTGGTACTAAAATATTTAAGAACTAAACTTAGATTTTAGGTTGTTTTTTTATAGGTGGTACTTCTATACAGTAGGTAAGCAATACTGCAAATGAATTTATCTCAAGCACTGTCATTTTACAGATGTATTGTTTCAGGTACAGTATATGTTATTTTGGACACTACATGTTATTAAGGCAAAACTCCACAGCAAGTCTATAGCAGGGTGGTCAAGTAAAAAAATACACAAAGCTGTGTGTCACAAACTTCTAAAAATGTTCCACTGCATGTGAACCACATAGGCCACTGGCCTTTTTACTGTTGTCTATACTAGACAAGGTAGGCTTTTTCTGTAAAATCCAGGCTGTAGAATGCAGGACCCTTTCATTATAAGCATGAGCATTACATATACAGTAGGCCTTAGAGTTAAAAGGCTACGCAATCAATTCTAAGAATAAAAAACAGGTGCAAATAGCCAGCACCACAACAGTTCAGGGAAACAGCAGAGTCATGGCATCAAAAAGGTTATGAAATATCAGTGTTGTGGATTTTAAGATATTTTTAAAGAAACAAATATATATAATTTTCTAGTTTTTATAGTATTTAAGTTTTTTTTAGTTACAAGGAAACAAATACTGTGGGAATGCTGGATAATTACCAACTGGCAAAACAAAAACAAAAAAACATAGTACACAACACTGTGTTTTAAAAGTGTTTGTTCCTGCTCTTAGAAAACTACTATACAAAAACCGGTCGAACAAAGCTTAGTCATGTATTTTTCCACTCTTTCACTTCATCTGAAACTTTTAATGTTAATGTTTGAGCACTTCAGGAATTTAAAGGCCGAAGAGAGAAAACATTTTTTTTCCTATAGATCTCATTCCTATAGCAATGCCTGCCTTTATACAGTTGTTTTAATCTAAACAACAGGTATAAGTGCAGCTTGATACTGCATTACTCTTTTGTGGCCATAGTTGTCTAATATTTCTTCTAGTGTTGCGACAGAGGACCCATGAAGTCCATTCCTCTCTCTCATACACAAGGTTACACATTGAGTAGCATTCTGAAGCTGTGCACAAAAGAAGAGGAAGAAAGAGGTTTAATTGCATAATAAAACAAAGGATTATTAAGGCACATGGAAAAACACTTCAAATCTTTTAAACTCTTTTCTTAGGTATGCTAACATGCACTGTATATGAAAAGAAAACTCTTAAGTTCATAGCAGTATCCATTATAAAACATAAAAGAGTGTAACACGGAGACTGTATTTTATTTTCCCACAACTGAGAACACCACTAGAGCCACATAAAGCCCATAGCTGAGTCAGCATCAACTGCAACACTGACTGGGCTTTCATTGACAGCAAAGCAAGTCCCCAGGAGTACTGTATGTAAGGCATCCTAGGCATTGCTGAGCCCACTGAGCACCACTGTTTGGACAACCATACTGTATCAACTAATGACATAACCCAAACCTGAACTATATCATATGGTTTGTGTGTGCACATTACTGCTCTTGCTTTGTCAAAGAACTCTAAGAGCAGTTTGAGCAAGAACTACCTAAAGGCCCTCTGTATACCACCAGGATTCTAGTGGATCAACAGTATGGATTTCTGTCTGGACTATAGGGTTCAACTTACATGTCAAAGGACGAAGTCCACTGCTTGGGCCAAGGAGAAGCCCCCATTTAATTTTTATGTAGATTATAGTACTTGATTAATGAACGATTCAGTTATTAATGGAAAGAAAAACAGTTTATCGGCGATTGCCTGCTCATAATTCATCTGAGCACATAAATATTACTAAAGCATTTTAAAGTGATTTACTCAAGAATGATTGTGACACTTCTATTTTACATTCATGTCCACAGCAGAAATTATTCATGACTGCTGCGATAGATGATCTTGAATGATGATGAACAAAGTTAATAAATTTCTCCTTTAAATGTGAAATCCCAAACGATTCTTAACCTTCTTAAAATAAAAGTTCAAAATTGATTTTTACACTTTGCAGCAATGAAAGAGGTACTGCAGTCATGAAAAGTGATGTTGGATCCAGAAATCGTTTTCAGCCTGCTCAAAATACTTCAGCAAAAAAGCAGTCAATCATGATGTTAAGTGTCTCAGCGATTAAAAACAGGAAACATTTAGATAATGAAAGAGAAATGGATGGATTTCACTCAGGTAGACATAAAGGAAGACATGAGAAACACATCTCTCACATAAGATGAGATAAGGTTCTGTGTTAAATAATAATAATAACAGTATTGCACAGAAAAGAAGAGAAAGAAGTATCACAGGTTCTGGAAACATAGGCTAAATAATTACACAACTATGCAGGCATGCATGGTATTTTACCAATTGTACTTAAATAAACAGGAGACACTATTCATAGGCTATTACAGCAGCACTCACTCAAGATGGGGATGATAATCACTGATCAGAAACAGCTATTGTACTGTAGCTCACCCCCATAGAAAGAACGAAAAATCTGAACCACGTCATAATTAAACAATAAGTCTTTCTTCCATTAGTTGTGAGATTATAGAATTCTAATCAGGACTAAACCAGGGGATAACCTCTATGGCCATATGATTCAGGAGAACAGTTCATATACTGTAGATTTAGATATGTTAAGTCTTGCTTAACTAACCTCTGAACAGGAAACAGCACTAATTCATTCACATAATGCATGTGTTAAGTGTTATATTGGAAGGCACAGTGGCGCAGTGGCTAGATATCTCCATGTAGTCTGCATGTTCTCCGTGTGTTAATGTGGGTTTCCACCGGGTGTTCCAGTTTCTTCCCCACAGTCCAAAGACATACTGGTAGGGTATTGGCTTCAATGAGAGTGTGATTGTGTAAATGTTTGTGTCTATGTCTATGCAAGCCCTGCGATGGACTGGTGTCTCATCCAGGATGTATCCTGCCTTGCGCCCAGTGCTTGCCGGAATAGACTCCAAATGTGTTAGAAGTACTGCTCTTAATAATCTATATCAATATATATATATAAGATGCAAGACTGTAACAAATGTAACAATATAAACACTATTTTTCATGTCTGTAGTACACTAGCATGGCCTAATTTAGAATATTAGTGTATTCAACTTACTTTCTAACAATACAAAAATGATGCTTTACAATCAATGGGGGGCAGGGTGGTGGCACTATGGCTAAGGATCTGCGCTTGCGGCTGGAAGGTTGCCAGTTCAAATCCTGCGGCCGGCAGAGGAATCCTACTCTGTTGGGCCCCTGAGCAAGGCCCTTAACCTACTGTAGCTGGTCCAGGGGCGCTGCGTGAATGGCTGACCCTGCGCTCTGACCCCCAGCTTTTCTCTCCCCGTCTGTGTGCCTCATGGAGAGCAAGCTGGGGTATGCAAAAACAAATTTCTAATGCAAGAAATTGTATATGGCTAATAAAGTGATCTTAATCTAGAGAGGGGCAACAAGGCACATTCCTGGTCCCAACTGAAAGTCCTTCATGGACAGATTGAGAGAGCTGAAGCCTTTTAGTTTTGAACAGAGAAGACTATGAGTGGGCCCCATCCAAGTACTGTAGTTACATTTCCTTAAAGACAAACTCAACCTGCTCACCTTCTTCAGAATTAACTGCGAAACAAAAACCAGCAAAAACAAATTGAATTTAAAGGGAATGTGCATGTAATAGTAAAAACAAGAGGACAAGGACAAAAACAGGTGAATCTGGTACACCTGGAAATGGCAATCCAGCCATGATGTCTAAGTAGAAACCAATGCTTCTTGCACAAAACAGCTGAATGAGATCTTAGGCTCAACTAGCTACAAACAACCAAATGAACAGGTTGAGCTGAACAGCCTTCTCTTGTAAAGGTAATCACTGTGTGCCAGCTAGAGAATCCACAGATTAGTGTAGGCAAATGATGCCTCTGTTGTCCCATGAACTCCCAAGTCACCCTGTTGATACAGATTTGGGATGGAACAGACATGTATAACACACGCCTAATGGTTCCCATGCCGAATGGTAATCTTGGTTAATGGCCAAGATTAAAAGGCAAAGTATTTCACATCCATCCAATATCAGAAAATTGCTTATTCTCAGTGATGGTCCCAGCAAACCAGGGATCGCCCCAGAGCACAGGCCCTAAGATGGAACCATACCCTAGATGCGAGTTCACACACAGTAATTGTACAGACAGCAATTAACATAGACATGAGATCTTCGGAAGCTGGGACCCATGCAAAACCCCTGACGGTAGCCCAGTCGAGAAGTGAACCCAAGAGCTGTGAGGCAGCAGTGCAAAATGCCAGTACTGTACCACCCCAAGAGTTTAACATACAAAGGAAGGGATTTTAACTGCAGAGTAACCTTTCCTACTTCACAGCAGCTACAACATGCAGATTTGAACTGGATCTCCAGACTCCAAATTGGAAAAGAGAATTGAGCATAACTTTATTTGTACAAATTCTTATTTTGCCTGCTAAACACCCTCTATAGCTTAGTATGTTCTACTGGAAAACCTTATAATATAGGGGTGTCCTTCAAATTAACAAGAGGTGGAGAGCAATCAGATACACAGTGGATTCAAGACATTTAAAAAATAAACTCTTGCTCTGGTCCCATATGCAATATCATTTTGGTGCAAACGTTTTTTTTAGTATCTTTTTATGTTTTGATAACATTAAATTGAATAATATTTGTAATTATTTAATGAACGAGGTGAAGGTGAATGGTGATCATTTTATGCGAGCCTAATGATTTCACATTTTGCCACGGGCTGTATTTTCAAGGAGGCCTAAGCCCAGACAGTCCTGTAGCTCCCGGTGGGTGGTGTGTAGTTACTAGCCCAGCTGTACAAGGAATACATACTCACAATCGCGTCGACCTGCCATCTCCACCAACGTCCCGAGTGAAACTGAAGTTTTTTTTAAAAAAACTAGGCGTACCTGCAACACACACACTTCACATCTCTACCTTCACCCTTCCCCGTCAACAGCAGAATCAAAGAAAACGCGTCCCCCCTTCACTTTCGATCCCATTTTTTGTTTAATTGTCAACCGCATTATTATTTTGAAAGCTGATGGAAGATTTAACGCGCACAACGACGATGTTTGCACAGACTTAACCAGAATTAAAACACGGGCGACGGCGCCTCTAATATCGAAACTGCCTTATTATTTGCAATGACCGCAAGAAAGAACCGCGAACGCATACAAAAGCGTCTGAGCTCAGTAAAGCAGTGAGTACCGAAAGGAAACCGGTAAGCTTTTGAGCTTTAAACAGGTGCATTGAAGTAGTTACAGTACAGACTGGACTGTTCATCACAGGGCATTGTGTGAGCGAAGACAGTCCATCGCTGGAAATTACACAGCATGCTAACATCGCAGCAAAGAGTTTACCCACCTAGCAGCCATTCTGGTCATTACCCATACACAGGTAATTTGAGTTAAACAGATTCCCACCTAAATGAACAAACGGGCCCTTTTTCAGCAGGAGTAGCTGTCAGGTGTGTAACAGTGGAGTGACAGTACGGGCTCACTCACCTGACAGGCTTCTCCGCCTCTCCTGGTTGACAGCATTCCTTCCATAAAACCCCAGAGTTTCTGTAGTTTCCGAGGCGTTGTTGCTTTTCTCCGAATTAGTTCTGACGCTCCCTGCCGGCTTCTCCTTTTCTTTGTCCCCGTTCTCCGTCTCCTTTTCCTCTCCCAACCCAGCTGCCACCGTATCCGCCATCTTCGCTCAGTCGCAGCGAGAGCAACAAACACAACACTGACGTCATCATTCGACATGCAGGGAAATCCGCCTAGGAACTACAAGTTCCGCCATGCATTGCGGAGTTTGGCTTTCATATAATTTACACGTACTGTACTGTTATTAGTGGTAATATGTGACGGTATTTTCAGAGAAAAAAGGTAATAACAGTGGAACTTCGTTTGGACTTAACTAAAAGATAGGAAATATGTTCTCTTAAAAATATGTTTTTGAAACTTAAGTGAAAAGAAAAACTGTCTGGTGAACTCACAGAATGGTTGCAAACGACAGGACTTATAGCACATTTAGTAGTATATACTGGAATTGATTTGAGGATTACCGAGCCGTTTCTCGAAAGACGTCTTCAACAACATTCACAACTGGCAGCCCACTGAAGCTAAGCAGGTGTGAGCCTGGTCAGTACCTGGATGGGAGACCTCCTGGAAAAACTAAGGTTGCTGCTGGAAGAGGTGTTAGTGGGGCCAGCAGGGGGCTCTCACCCTGCGGTCCATGTGGGTCCTAATGCCCCAGTATAGTGACGGGGACACTATACTGTAAACAGGCGCCGTCCTTCGGATGAGACGTAAAACCGAGGTCCTGACTCTCTGTGGTCATTAAAAATCCCAGGGCGTTTCTCGTAAAGAGTAGGGGTGTAACCCCGGTGTCCTGGCCAAATTTCCCATTGGCCCTTACCAATCATGGCCTCCTAATAATCCCCATCTATGAATTGGTTTCATTACTCTGCTCTCCTCCCCACTGATAGCTGATGTGAGGTGAGCGTTCTGGCGAACTATGGCTGCCGTCGCATCATCCAGGTGGATGCTGCACATTGGTGGTGGTGGAGGGGAGTCCCCGTTACCTCTAAAGCGCTTTGAGTGGAGTGTCCAGAATAAATGTAAGCAATTATTATTATTATTATTAACATGGCTGGGTAGCTTGTTCCATACTCCCACAAACCTTTGTGCAAAGAGATGCTGGCTCTTCTGTCTTAAACACATTTTCATGTACTGTAGATTACACTCCTTAGCTCTTGTTTGTGTTTTGCTGCTTCGGAGCTGAGGATTCTGAATATTTGAGTCAAATCAGGTCCCCTTTTAGTTTTCTCTGTTCGGACTTAAAAGGTTCAGTTCTTTTAGCCAGTCAGTGTATGACATTTCTTTCAGTCTGAGAATCTATTTTGTTGCTCTTATCTAGACCTATGTAAGAACAGTAATATTTGGACAAGACACAATTGCCCTTGCCCCATCCGCTGTGCTTTACCTCTTTGCTGTCATCTTAACTAAGTTAAACATGAAGCCCCCTACAAAAATAATGTTAAGTTTTGTATAGAAATGTACATTTTATTGGGGCTTTTCTCTATATATACATAGGAAATTTTTGACTGGATTAAACAGAAGAACTCAGTTCCTTAGGTAGTATTTATTATAACATAGTAGAAAGAGTCTTCTTCAGTATCCTTAATCTGAGAATGCATTGTAATATGAGCTGCCAAGTGGCCTCATAAATACAGACCCTGGTGTGATATAGGTTTTAAAATCCAATTCGCAGAGTGCTACTAGCTGAAATACAGCGGACATGAAAATTCTGAAATGTTCTTCTATCACACATCTGTACAAATAATCACAAGTTCACCCTCTGTCCTCAGAAGCTTTTCAGACACTTTCACTGGTCATACTGTGGGTCGCTTACCTGTTTGTGGGGATTTCATGTAAATTAGGGTGAAGAATTGATTTACAGAAGATTAATTTAAAATATGAGCAAATCAAAATTGAAAAAAGCAAGAATATGTTACTTTTTAAACAGCACCTGAACTAGAACTCTGCCATGCAGTAATTATAAACACATACTTTATCTGTTCCACAAAGATCTAAACGTATCTCAAACTTCTTGTTGCACTTCACTGGACCCCTCTAAATCCCTGTTCTGTTTCAGTTACAGTACCTTGCATAATTAAGTGTAAAAATACAGTATATGTAAAGGTAATTATGAAGTGCTCCTAAAGAGAGACATTTGTTAAAATGCCAAATATTTGGTAAATAACTCACTTAAATCTTCTAAAATGCTTTCAAACAATCCAATCTCACAGCACATTAGACACAAAACCCAGGCACGTAGCAAACACTTTTATTTAAGTAACAACATCTAAAATAAATAGCAAGTACAAACTATAAGAGGCTTAACCATTAAGTGAGTCCATAATTTGATAATCTCGTGGTCACAAATAATACAGCTAAACAGGTCTTACATAAGATCTACTTTGAGAGAAATGGATGTGTTTCTTATTCTCCTAATGTGGACAGGGAGTCAGTCCAGGCTTTGCATTCTTGGCAGAGCTGTTCATTTTATATTTAGCGTCTCTTCGTTTGCCAGGGTCAGACAGAGAAACTCCAAGTCTGTATGCAGTCTGATTGTAATTCCATCACTAAATTAGGATTTGGCTGGTTTGTCTCCTTTGAAAATGCATGTGAATACAAATGTCAAGAAGAACCTTCAGGGAAATATGGAGTTACTCGCAATCATGCACATGTTATTCTCATAGCCCTAAGTTTGTATGTATCGGTTAACAATAACAAAAGATACGTAAAATATATCCCCCATAAACTATTTGTGAACACTTAATTGCCATCAGAAAGGCTCATATTGATCATGTAGAGTGGATGTGATACAGCCCATTGTTGGAAGGGCCACTGTACCCTGGGCGAGTGGTATGTTCACTTTGAGATATTTTACCACAGCGGGCAACACTTTCCCACCCTCCAGGTCCTGCATCCGAACCAGAAGAGGAGATGTCAAGTTGTCAGACAGGAGGGTCTTATTTGCAGTTTCTGTACCAGTCCCAGAGGACAGCGCGGTGCCTCATGTCTCCATGGCCATCCCACCCAGAGTCAGAGAGAGGGGAGGAGCTGCTGTCCTGTCCAAGGTTTGAGAGGGGAGGAGCTTGCTGTCCTGTCCAAGGTTAGAGAGGGGAGGAGCTTGCTGTCCTGTCCAAGATTAGAGAGGGGAGGAGCTGTGATCCCACACAGAGTCAGAGAGAGGAGAGGAGCTGCTGTCCTGTCCAAGGTTAGAGAGGGGAGGAGCTTGCTGTCCCGTCCAAGGTTAGAGAGGAAGGAGCTGTCATCCCACCCAGAGCTAGAGGGGGGAGAAGCTGTCATTGCACCCAGTCAGAGTGGGAGAAGGGGCCAACGCTGCTGTCCCGTTGGATGTCGGAGAACATGGATGACCTGCCTTCAGCTCCAAATCAAGACAGCAAGGAAAGGAGAAAAAGCCAAATCTGTCTGAAGCACCTGTCTACTTCCCACTAAGCACTGTAGCCACATCACATTAATTTAGTGGAGGCTATCCTTGATGTGGTGGTAGAAAACACAATGTGTAGAATTCTTCAGAAACAGCATGTGATATCACAAGTAAACACAAGGGTGAATTATATATGTACTGTATGTATATGAACAGTCTATACCAGCGGCCTGCAACCCTGGTCCTGGATAGCCACAGTATCTCCAGGTAGTTTGTTCCAGCTAAGCTCTGGATGACATAATTGGATCAATTAGTTCTTTAATGCAGAGGGGTTTACATGCTTTTCAAGATCCCTGCACATTGACCTTTCAAGGGTGTATAAAACATACAGAAATGCAGGAGAACTGCACTCTGCCGTGAGGACAGCAAAAGGAAAAGATACCGCACAAAGGGGATCCTCAGCAGCTGAACCTGAAAAGACTACAGCCTGGACTACTTTATGAGCAGATTGCAGCTGGGGCTCCTTTACTGAAAATATTTAAAATGGCGGACCAAGGAATCATAACTCTGATTACAGTAGTGTTGTGATTAGACAAAGACATAAGATTCATACCAGCTGCTTTTGTCATGTATCCTACCATTTGAGCATTCTTAAAGCCTACCTTGTACTGTATAGGCATGTACTTTGCAAGAGATAAAATAACATGATTACAGTGTGGTGGGAAGCCAGTTTGAAAATGCATGGTGAATGGCAATCAAGCTAGATTTAGTTAATTAGAATTCTCAGAACATGCTTATTTTGTTTTCTAGTCATAAAGTACAGTACTGTAAATGCATGGATTAATTCTAGTTGTAATAACTATCCCTAGATTGTTTACGACCTGTTGACAAAGTTGCTCCAAACTAAGAACGTTTCTTCAGCAAAGAAATCTGGTACTTCATTTTTTTTATTTTCAGACATTCCTGTCCTTTCTTCCTTTGGGAAGAATTTTGTTCACCTCTGACTCAGCCTCATTTGTCATTTCTAATCTTCTCAAAGACCTCAGTTCCCTGTTAAAAATTAAAGAGACGGTAGATCTGTGTAGAAGCAGAACAATAAACCAGAAACCTTCTTTTGATTATGATTCTTATTTATTTTACATTTAATATGCCTTTGGACTGTGAGAAGAAACTAGAGCACCTCCTGGAAACCCAAGCAAACACAGACAGCATCCCAGGAAGTGAATCTGAAAACATTCATGTTTGCAAATATGACCTCACAGATTCAAGCCTTTTTCACGATTCAAGTTATGGCTCAAACAGGTGGCACTGTATGATCAGTATACAATATATTATTAAAAGATATTTTTAAAAATATGTTTTTTCACGCATTAGAGCTTGGATTGGCAACTCCAGTAATTTAGGGCTGCAGAATCCTAGACTCATTATTCCACGTCGGTTGTTAATTGCTTAAATGAACTGTGATACAGTGTTTCTTTCCAGAACAAGCTCGGGAGCAAGTTATTTGTTGTCAAATCGAATTACCAGGCTCTGCTCACTGTTAACTGCAATGATGGCTGACATGAATTGGGAAATTGTTCAAATCACACGGGTCTGTCACTTGTCCTTTGCAGGATTAAATCTACATTTTAATCTTTGTTGTTACATGTGGCCATTCAAGTACTGTAGTGGGGTAGAGTTTCACTCTAGTGAGTGAGCAAAACTGCTTCAAAATTTACCCTAAACTAAGAACTGGAAGAGTTATACACTCTAGCTTGTGGTTCATTCT